TTTTTAAAGTATGCTCTACGCCCAACGTGGGGCTCAAACTCACGACTCCAAGATTAAGAGTCGCATGCTCTGTGGACTAAGCCAGCCAGGTGCCCCACAGACACCCTTTTTTGCACAAATAGGGCCAAACTCTACATGCTATGTGGCTCTGTGCTTCATTATCATTTATAAATATCTACCTCCATCTTTGGATTGTATGGATGTACACTGCATGGGTGTATCATCATTTAACCAATACCTCCTGATAGACATTTAGGTTGCTTCCAATTTTTCTCTCTTACAAACGTCTTGATACACCATCCCTGTACTCTTCTGTGACTTTTTAAGGATAAATTTCTAAGTATAAAACTACAGAATCAATTCCTAGATATAAAACTATAGCATCCCTGGGGTGCCTGCCTGGTTCAGTCGAAGAGCGTGCGAATCTTGATCTCAGGGTTGTGAGCTCAAGCCCCACATGGGGTGAAGAGATTAAAAATTTAAATATCTGGAAAAAAATTTTTAAAAACCCAAACTATAGCATCAGTGTTTAGCTAAATGCTCCACAGCTATTAAATGGCTTCACCATCCTCTCAAAATGGTCTCAAAAGGTTTGCTGATTTCTCATATGCTTGTTAACATGAGTTATCGGTGAGCTTTTTAACTATATTCCATTCAACAAAAATGAGCGCTTGTGTTTGTTTTTAAAATATAGTTGTTTTTCATTTGTCTCACTGATTATTAGTGAGGTACATGTAGTAAAAAATGGAAGATAGCATTTTAATTCCAATCTTTCTTATATAAGTATATGCATATATATGTGTGTGCATATATATACACACATATATAGACACACATATATGTATATGCACATATACACGCACATATAGACACATACATGTACACACATATAGACACATATATGTACACAGAGATATAAACAGACACATATATGTACACACACGCACATATGTACACACATATATGCACATATACACATGTACACACATACACACACAGACACATATGTACACGCATATATGCACATATACACATGTACACACATACACGCACATATAAATAGACACACATATATGTGCACACACATACACGCACATATAAATACAGACACACATATGTACACACACATACACACATATAAATATAGACACACATATGTACACACATACACGCACATATAAATATAGGCACACATATATGTACACACATACACGCGCATATAAATACAGGCACATATATGTACACACGTGCACATATAAGTAGACACGCGCACATATAAATACAGACACATACATGCACATATAGACATATATGCACACCTGTACATGCACATAGACACACATATACACGCACATACAAATAGACAGACATATATGCACGCACATATATATGCACATACAAATACAGACATATATGCAAACACATATACACGCACATACAAATACAGACATATGCACACATATACATGCACATACAAATACAGACACACATATATGTACACACACATATACATGCACATACAAATAGACCCATATATGCATTCAAACATATACACGCACATATACAGACACACATATATGTATGCACACATATACACGCACATACAAATACAAACACATATATATGTACGCACACATAAATACACACACATGTATGCACACATAAATATACACGTGTAAATATATACACATATATGTACACACACATGTACACACAAATATACACACATATGTGCACACACACAAATACACATATATATGTACACACATACACACATGTATGCACATATAAATATATACATATATGTACACGCACATGTACACACATAAATATGCACACACATATGCACACACACAAATATATATACATATGTACACACATATACACACATATAAATACATGCACACATACATGTACACACATATACATACACACACACACACATACATACTGGTCAGAACACTTTTATTTGTATCGTTTATTCCCTAGAATACCCCATACTCCCTTTGTCTCTTAGGAAAAACTGGTAAATCAGGGAGTCACACCTGTGAAGTCGGACTTCAGAGTAATTACTTTTATTTTTTATTTCTAATTTTAAAAGTAATCAACTATCGGCAAAAGATTGAATGTTTCAAAATGAGCCAGGCACCATCACCACCTCAAAGCAGCCTCCGGTCCTTTTTACTCGCCCTGATTGAGATCTTTGTCTAAAATGCAGCTATAAGGTCTTGCCTCATCACTGAGGTTTTTCATTGCAATGGACTAGAATGTAAGCCTAAGGAGGGGTATGCCTGTGAGTCTGCAGCTGTCACCCCAGGGTCCCGCAGTGTCTGAAACATATGCTGCAAGAATTACTGCACGGATGGATGGATGGATGAATGGACAAGCAAAACATGCTGAGGCGTGGCTTAAAAAAAAAAAAAAAAAAAGGACAGTAATTCTCTTGGCACCTTGACAACTGATACGGAAGGCAATCATTCCCCGAGATTGTTCCAAAAGTGGTTTTGATGACATCTGTGGAATACACGCATGATCTCTTATGAGGACTACCTCAAAAGAGGGGGTGCTTTCTTAAATATGCACCTGGTATATATTTTGTTGGTTACGCTTCAGATGCTATCAGGGTTACACAGGGAAAGACACGTGGCTCCGCACACACAGATCAGAGAGGCCGAGGGTGCAACTTCTAGAATGAGACCTCCCTCCTCCCTCTGCTACTTTCTCTGGGACTTCATCTCTCTGAACCTTGGTTTCCTCATCTGTCCACGGGGAGAGCAAGACCTACCACCTGGCTGTGGTGTTAAGGGCTCCAGAACATTCGCGTACTTTCAGGGTTTAGCCAGGCCGCTCACTAAACAGGATCTACTGGGACATCTCTGATAGTGACAGCTGACCCTGAATCATACAGAGTTTGAGGCCTGCTAGAACCTGACCAGTCCGAGAAGAAAAGCCTGAACAAGAATGAGCCTACCTCCCACTTGCATCCCACATGCCGGGTGGATGATTTTCCAGGGGGCATCCAAGGTACCTTGGTTTTCACCCGGACACTCCGCCGCACATTCACGGTGTCCCCTTTCATTCCGCGCTTATGAGATTTCTGTGGAAAGGGACAAACCCAGGGTCACTTCCCCACACAGCTGGCCGTGGTCTCACTCTGGTGGCATCCACTTCCAACTCTGCAGGGGAGCCTCTTCTGACTAAGGCTACCACTGCCATTTCTGGATGACAGTGCTGCCTACCTTCTAGCCAGACAGCTGACCTCTGAAAGCAAGTGCATTTGTGTCCCAAACCTTTGTGGATTTTGAAGCCTGAGGAGGCCGTGCTGGGAGGGGTCACCCTGCTCCATAGCCTTCACCTTGCCCGACCGGCATGCTCCTACCTGGCTGCTGGTCGCTGATGGTTTCGGGAGTTTTTTTATGTGGACGTGGACAGGAGTGTTCTCATCCACATGAACATGTAAGGGGGGGGTTGAAGAGCGGTCCTTCATGCTTCGCTTCTGGCAGGCGGGGGAGGGCAACACAAAAAAGGTTGATCTGTGGATGAGTAAACTGGCATAAAAAACCGAGCTCACAGCCTCTGGGGGCCACTGAAAGCCTAGCCACCAAGCGAGCAGGACAGCTACCAACTACTGGCATGCAGGCTGGAACCAGGGCAGTAGCACCGTTCAGCAGACTCCCACAGAGATCCCGGCTGAAGACCACCTGGAAGATCTAGGTCCACTCAAGACAGGGATCTGCAAGACCTGCGGGTTCTCCAAAAGAGCACCAACCCAGGCCCCGGGGTCCTCAGAGCCGAATCTCCTTCCGAGCCTGCTGGAAGGCAGAGCTCCTCTGTAGACTTAGTGTAGCACAGCTGGAAAGCAGGGGAATCCTTCTGCCCCGTGATCTGATCTGTGCATGCACGGTAGCACAGGACACACACCACATGGTTAGAGTGCACAGTAAATCAGGCAGAAGGCAGGTGGAAGATGAGGAAAACGGAAAGCTAAAGGAAATGCTGAGATGAGAAGGTTGTATTGATTTGGAAGAGAACCCGAGCAGGGCAGAACCCCCCCAGCCACACACACCCCTTGCCCACCACCCGCAACCCGGTCCCCTCCCCATTCTCTTTTCTTCTTCTTTTTTTTGGAAAATGTGTTCTCAGGACTTCTGGAATTTGGAAGGATTAGGTGAAGACAACCTCCTCACACCCAGCAGCTTTACCACAGGCAAAAAAAACCAAAACCAAAACCAAATCCCCAATGAGCAGGATATGCAGGAAAGCCTCTAGCAGAGCACTAGGCCACAGTGGTGGTGGCGGGGAAAGGCAGCTCCTGGAAAAGGCGAACCGAAGCATTTTTGGTAGGGCCATAGACCGGAGGGCTGCTCCGTGGGCACGTCACCTACCGTCACAGTCACACTGGGTGCGCCACAAGGTGTCCTCAAGACCTTTTTCTGCGTGAGACTTGTTACTCCGTTCTTCCCACAAGATGGAAACCTGCACCCAGGCACAAGAACCAGATTGTAAGCAGAAAACTAGGGCTCTTCTATCTCTTAGATCTCTCGAAATGACACGAGTGAACGGCTAGGAGAACCAGTCTGGTATCACTTGGCTCCCTTTACACGGCCACCGAACACACATGGTGCGCCCGGCAGGGGGATGGAAACAGGGGGTAATAGGCATTCACAGGGCTGGCCTTTTAACCTCTGCGGTCGCATCACAAGTATTGTGACCTTTTGCTGAAAAGCCCAGCTGTCATCCTGTCAGATGACAAAAAGCAGGCAGCATGGGAGCACCAGGCAAGGTACTAGGGGTTGCCAAGGGTGAAAGTATCCAGGACTGTGCCTGGAGCAGAAGCAGCCCTGGAAAAATGCTCCGAAGTTACAGACATCAAAAGACAGAGCAGCAGGCCCAGGAACAAAGTCCCTGTGACTCAAATTCATAAAATTAACAGTCACATATTCAAGTAAGCTGACGAAAAGTTACTATGTCCCCAAATATTCTACTTGCTACCCTTTAAAATCCTGCGAAGCAGGGTTATTTTTGTTTTGGAGAGGTGTTTTTTTTTTTTTAATACTATGTGCAATTTATCATGTTCATACATAAACAGCCCCATCACCAGGTTTGCAAATATAGCAAAAGTTTCATCTCCAATATTTGGCAGCAGAGCGTCCAAGAATTCCACGATGGAAAGGGACTTGGAAAATTCATTTGATCCATCCCACTACCTCCTCCAAAATAGGACTTCCATCCTCCCCACAAATACTTAGGGGAGAATAATGCAACCTAAAAATGCAAGAGAAAAATGCTCGAGCACTTCAGCATGCATCCTGCTGTATGTGTATCACACCCTGACGAAAAAGAAAAAAATATTTATTGGGCCCTACTCAGCATTTAGGTGAGGAATACCAAATCTGAGTAGACAGATTTTTTTTTTCCCTCACTTAAAAGCCAACAGATCTGGGAAATCTGTCTCCCCCTGCGGGCTTGCCATCAAATCACCTGGACTGCATCAACACCTTGTTAACTGCCTACATCACTGTTACTTATTTACATGTAGCTTCCTTTCAAAAAGGACCTGTGCCTAGTACTCCATGAAGACAATGGTGGCCCTGTTTGCTAGGAGCAACTGGGGCACCTGGGGAAGGGAGGGCAAGAGGGAGGCAGAGCTGGGATTTCAAGCAAGCACTTTTTTCGTCCTTCCCTTTAAAAATGACTTTTCAGTGTTTTGGTCCAGACTTTCAATACACAGAACAGGGAAGCTGAAAAGAGAAGCCTCCAGCGAGCCTGGCCTGGGGACCCCTGACCACCTGTCCCTGCCCTTCTGCGGAGGCGCCCCCCACGTTGGTAGTACCTGGGGGAGCCGCCTGAGGATGAGGCAGACATGGTTAGGCATCAAAGCCGCAAAGGTGGGCAATTGGGTCAGCAGGCTCTGCTCAGGGGGACCCAGAGGGGCTTGTCAATGAGAATCTCAGGGGCCCGGCATCAAACGTCCTCTCTGAGGGGAGGAGGGTGGATGGAAGCTTTAGGGGTGGCAGTTGGATGAAAACTTGGGAGGCGCTCCTCTACTGTCCAAGTCGCACAGCAACTGTCCTGCCAAAGTGGGGGGAGATAGGAGAGGCTGAGCGACTTGGCGGAGCAGTGCGTGGGTGGCTGGTAGGTGGTGGGGGGCGCGGAGGGAGCTCCCCTCCCCAGCGAGGGACGGGGAACGGAACTTCGGAGGCAAGGACAACCACGCCTAGGTCCCACCCGGGAGAGAAGGTGGGTGGGTCACCAGAGGGAAAACCTGAGGCGCCGGCTGGCGTGCGTGAAGGGCGGGCGGGCACCGCTAGGCCCCCAAGTGGGCCGCAAAGGGCCGAAACCCGCGCAGGGAGCTGGAGGGATATTCGGGGCGGGACCAGGGCAACTGTCTCCTAGGAGAAGGGGCGTTCCCGGGAGAATAGAAACCCAGAGAGGACCAATAGTGTTTGAAGGCGGGAGGGGCGGCAGCTGCAGGGGAAAGGTGCTCGCAGCCGCCAAGTGGGTACCCCGGACGGCGGAGGGAAAATCCTCCCGCGCGCAGCCGCCAGCGGCCACTGGGATTCAGTATCCGAGTTGGAGCGGGTCAGACGCCGGGTGGTGCAGGGAGCGGGACGAAACCCCCGGTGGCGTCCCCTGGACGGGTGATCCCACTCCCGCGGGGTCGGGAAGCCGGGAGGCGGCCGCCGGGGAATAGCGCTGCCTACGAGGCGCGGACAAATAACTGCCGAGCCGCGGCCCGCAGGGAGGGACAGGCGGCCGGGGCGACGCCCACCGGCGGGCAGGGGGCGCGGGGCCTGTCTCCGTCGGCGGAGAGGAGGGAGACCACCCACCAGCGGGCAGGAGGGGACCAGTTTCTGCCCATAGAGAAAAAGGTGAAGCCCTGCCAGAGGGCGGCAGAGGAGGGAGCAGAGTCCTGCCGGAGGCCAGGTTAGGAGGGAGGCGGCCGGCCCGCCGGTTAGCGGGAGGAGAAGAAGGCCCGCGCCGGGGGGGCGGGGCAGGGGCCACATTCTGACGGGAGCCGGACGAGCGCGCCAGGGGGCTGGAGGCGGGGGCGGCCGCGGGAGGGTCGGGGAACGACGGGGGCCATGCTGCCCGTGGGGACGCGGCCCGGCGGTGGCCGCGGAGCGCCCCGGAGCGCCCGGGATCCCGCCTGCCGGGGGCCTCTCACCAGGAGCGACACGGCTGCGCCCAGAAACGTCTCCTTATGAAGTCGTTGAAGTCGGAGGCCAGGGCCGTGCCATGGAGACGCCGCGGCGGATGCAGTCCGGCTCCCGCGGCGGCTCCTCCCCGCTTCCGCCTCCTTTTCCGACACCCGGTCGGCAGCTCGCCCATTGGCCAGTTCAAACCCCCCCGGGAGCCTCTCGGGTTTCGCCATTTAGGCCCAGCCTCTCGCGTCACAGAGATGCCCCTCCCCGCCCGAAGCTCCGCCCACGTCCGGGCCACGAGTCCCGTCGCCGTGGAGACGCGCGACGCCACTAGCGGGCCCTGCCTCGGCTTGCCCCGCCGTTCAAGACCCAGCTGACCTTCCGCCATTTTTACCCCGCCTTGGTCCTCCTCGAGTCCCCTAACTCGAAGGAGCGCTAAAACTCTACCCCAGACCCTTTGATACATGTTAGGAGACCAGGTTCAGACAGGGGACACAGAACACGTTTGTGGCCAGAGCTACGCGCTGCTTCTGGAAATCCAATCCTGTCAATACTCCACTGTTGGTGCACACCACCCAGACTCTCTCCCCCTCCCACAGCGCCTCCTCCGTCCTTGTCCAGACCAGAGGAAGGGGCTGCGTTCCCCTTGCCCCTCACCGCCCTCCTGCACACTGGGTGCTGCTGTGTGTACTACAGACCTACTTCGATGAGGTTCTCGCTGAGCCGCCATCTTCTCAACTATGTCCACTATTGACCAATCCAGGCGGGCTGTCACGTGGCTCACCGCGCCGCCCTGGATTCTGGGAAACTTTAACATCCTCAGACCAAACTGGCCTCAGTCTCTCGACATCCTCATGTCCATGACTTTCCCCTGCACCTCAGCCAATGCACCCCAAGGGCCACACAACTGATCCACGTGAAATCTGAAATTCCATCTTCCCCCTTCTCCACATAGTACCTGCTTTTCTGGCTTCGTTTTCGCGGCTAGTGCCCACCATATTCATTCCCCAGTGTTAGGGAGCCCTCCACGTCCATTCGTCTTCTCCCTGAGGTTCTGCAAGGATGAAACACGTCATTACTTCCACCTTCACCTGAGCCCTCACCACCACCCAGAATTGTTCCATTTGTTCCTAGATCCCTTCCCTCTCCACAAATGGTTTTTCCAAACCTTTGCCTCTTACCATCCCATACTCCAACTCTCCTTTTTCATAGAGAAAAATAAAGCCATCAGGTAGAATTCCCTCCCGGTGCCTGGGTGGCTCAGTCGTTAAGCGTCTGCCTTCGGCTCAGGTCATGATCCCAGGGTCCTAGGATCGAGCCCCGCATCGGGCTCCCTGCTCTGCGGGAAGCCTGCTTCTCCCTCTCCTATTCCCCCTGCTTGTGTTCCCTCTGTCACCGTATCTCTCTCTGTCAAATAAATGAATGAAATCTTAAAAAAAAAAAAAAAAAAAAAAAAAATTCCCCTTCCCTTTTCCCCCCCCGCCCCCTCTTTTAAATTCCCCCCTCCTTTAATTCCCCCTTCAGAGGAAGAGATGTCCTTCTTGCTGCTTAAGGTAAACTTCTTGCTGCCAGACCTAGGCCAATTATCTCTGTAAAATGTCTCTTGCTACCCCCAGCACAGAATTGTTGATCATTTCTCAATGCTCCCACATTCGTTGAACCAATATTTATTAAGTTCCTGCTATGTGGTAAACCCAGTTCAAGAAGCAACAAACACTGGGCGCCTGGGTGGCTCAGTTGGTTGAGCGACTGCCTTCGGCTCCCGCATCCGGCTTCCTACTCAGCAGGGAGTCTGCTTCTCCCTCTGACCCTCTTTCCTCTCGTGCTCTCTATCTCTCATTCTCTCTCTCTCAAATAAATAAATAAAATCTTAAAAAAAAAAAAAGAAGCAACGAACACTACCTAGTCTTTGAGGATCCCATGGCCAACCTCTCTGATGTGACCAGATAACACGGTTAAAGCTTTCCCCTTCCTGGGGCGCCCGGGTGGCTCAGTCGCCTGGCCAGGATTGGCCACTTTTTTAAAAGACCAATGCCCAGCACTGACAAGGACATTAGGAAACAAGCAATCTCGTATGTTGCTGGTAGGATTAAAAATTGATGTAATCTTTTGGGGTGCCTGGGTGGCTCAGTCAGTTAAGCATCCAACTCTTGGCTTTGACTCAGGTCATGATCTCAGGGTTGTGGGATAGAGCCCGGGGATGGGGTCCATGCTCAGCGAGGAGTCTCCTTCTCTCCCTCTGCCCTCCTCCCACACTTCCCCCACATGCTCTCTCTCTCTCTCAAATAAATGAATGTTTAAAAAAATAAAAATTAAAAAAATTAAAATTGATGTTATCTTTTGACAGAACAACTGGACATTATATCTTTTTTTTTTAAAGATTTTATTTATTTGAGAGAGAGAATGAGAGAGAGAGAGAACATGAGAGGGGGGAGGGTCAGAGGGAGAAGCAGACACCCTGCTGAGCAGGGAGCCTGATGCGGACTCGATCCTGGGACTCCAGGACCATGACCCGAGCTGAAGGCAGTCCCTTAACCAACTGAGCCACCCAGGCGCCCTGGACATTATATCTTAAAAACCTTAAACAGGTTGTGAGTTTGAGCCCAATGTTGGGTATAGAGATTGCTTAAAAATAAAACCTTAAAAAATATATATATATGTTCCTAAATATATATATATATATTCCTAAGTGTGTGTATGTATATATTTCTTTTTTTTTTTAATATTTTATTTATTTATTTGACAGAGACAGAGACAGCGAGAGCAGGAACACAAGCAGCGGGAGTGGGAGAGGGAGAAGTAGGCTTCCCGCTGATCAGGGAGCCCGATGTGGGACTCGATCCCAGGACCCTGGGATCATGACCTGAGCCGAAGGCAGACGCTTAACGACTGAGCCACCCAAGCGCCCTGTATATGTGTATTTCTAAACAGCTGGGTCTAAGAGGATGTTAGTGTTAAGGTTTTTATTTCTATTTGTTTTTTAAGATTTTTTTAAAACAATCTCTACACCCGACATGGGGCTCGAACTCACAACCCCAAGATCAAGAGATCAAGATTCATGTGCCAGCCAGGCACCCCTAGGAGTGAACTTTAACAAAATAATCAAGAAAACATTTAGACGTTAAAGAGAAATTTCCTTTCAGCCTTTCTTTTCCTCAATGTGATTGTCTTTGGACTGACCCCTCCTTACCTTCCCAAGGGAGTAAGAGTCTCAGGGAGAAGACAGCAGGGTGTCCCTCAGGCTTGCCCGTAGCCCAGGCAAAAAGAGGGCTCCACATGGACCAGGAAGCCTTATGGGTTTGGAGCAAAAGCCAATTAGTAAAGGCAATATGCATTTGCACAGTGCATACCCGGTGCATATGATTTCTCTCTGGAAGCTGGTGCAAGGATGAGCACACAGTGCAGTTACCGATAGAGAGTAATTAGAAGAAAACAGGCAGTAGGGCGCCTGGGTGGCTCAGTTGGTTAGGCGACTTATCCCAGAGTCCTGGGATCAAGCCCCACATTGGGTTCCCCCTGCTCTGCGGGGAGCCTGCTTCTCCCTCTCCCTCTGTCTGCCACTCCCCCTGTTTGTGCTCTCTCTCTGTCAAATAAATAAATAAAATCTTTTTTTAAAAAAAAAGAAGAAAACAGGTAGTAATTTCTTCGACATTAGTCTTAGCAACATTTTTCTCAATATGTCTCCTCAAACAAAAATAAACTCTTGGGACTATCCCAAAATAAAAAAGCTTTTGCACAGTGAAAGAAACCATCAACAGAATGAAAAGACAAACTCTGAATGGGAGGAGATATTTGCGAATGATATATCCAATGCAGCTTTAGTATCCAAAATTCATAAAGAACTTATACAACTCAACACCAAAAAAACACAAATCGTCCAATTAAAAGATGGGCAGAGGACCTGAATAGACATTTTCCCAAAGAAGACATCCAGATGGCCAATAGACACATGAAAAGATGCTCAACATCATTCGTCATCAGGGAAATGCAAATCAAAATGTCAATGAGGGGCGCCTGGGTGGCTCAGTTGGTTGAACATCAGACTTGATTGTTGGCTCAGGTCATGATCTCAGGGTCATGGGATAGAGCTCCATGTCAGGCTCTGCGCTCTGTGTTGAGTCTGCTTGGGATTCTCTCTCTCTCTCTATCTCCCCCCCCCGCCCCTCCCACCTCCCCCCACCCCAGCTCGAGCTCTCTAAATAAATAAATAAATAAAATCTCAAAACCTCAATGAGATGTCATCTCACACCTGTCAGAAGGTAGTATCAAAAAGACAAGAAATAACAAGTGTTGGCAAGGATGCGAAGAAAAAGGAATCTTCACGCACTGTTGGTGGGAATGTAAATGGGTGCAGCTGCTGTAGAAAACAGTGTAGAGAGAGGTTCTCCAAAAAATTAAAAATAGGGGCGCCCAGCTGGCTCAGTGGGTAGAGCATGTGGCTCTTGATATCTGGGTCATGACTTCAAGCCCCATCTTGGGGGTAGAGATTACTTAAAAATAAAAGCTTCTAAGGGGCACCTGGGTGGCTCAGTCTGAATCTTGACTTCAGCTTAGGCCATGATTCAGGGTCTTGGGATCAAGCCCTGAGTCAGGCTCCACGCTGGGCATGGAACCTGCTTAAGATTCTCTCTCTCCCTCTCAGTCTGCCCCTCCCCCGATCTCTCTCTCAAAATAACTAAATAAATAAATAAAAATAAAATATTTTCTCTTCCCCCTAAGCGGCCTGAGGTGACCTCTGAAAATGGTTCGCTATTCGCTTGACCCAGAAAACCCTACGAAATCATGTAAATCAAGAGGTTCAAATCTTCGTGTTCACTTTAAGAACACACGTGAAACTGCCCAGGCCATCAAGGGTATGCATATCCGAAAAGCCACCAAGTATCTGAAAGACGTCACTTTACAGAAGCAGTGTGTGCCATTCCATCGCTACAATGGTGGAGATGGTAGGTGTGCCCAGGCCAAACAGTGGGGCTGGACATAGCGTCGGTGGCCCAAGAAGAGTGCTGAATTTTTACTGCACGTGCTTAAAAATGCAGAGAGTAATGCTGAACTTAAGGGTTTAGATGTTGATTCTCTGGTCATTGAGCACATCCAGGTGAACAAAGCCCCCAAGATGCGGCGTAGAACGTACAGGGCTCATGGTCGGAATAACCCATACATGAGCTCTCCCTGCCACATTGAGATGATCCTTACTGAAAAAGAGCAGATTGTTCCTAAACCAGAAGAGGAGGTTGCACAGAAGAAAAAGACATCCCAGAAGAAACTGAAGAAA